CCGGTATTTAACCAGGCTACCCCAAATGCATACCAGATGATAGCCCTGTGAATGTGCAACAACATGACATCCAGCCAGACACAACGCCTCCTTAATTGGAGGGAGACATTGAGCTTTGAAAGAGAGGGGTAGGCCCAGGTACAAAAACTCATCGAATCTGCACTCTAGCACAAAGCATAGTCTTTACAACAATCCCACCCTCCTGGATTTTAACCAGGCTACCCTAAATGCATACGTGATGATAGCCCTGTGTCTGAGCAACAACATGACACCCAGCCAGACACAACCCGTCCTTAATTTGAGGGAGACAATGAGCTTTGAAAGACAGGGGTAAGCCCAGGTACAAAAACTCAGCGAATCTGCACTCTAGCACAAAGCATAGTCTTTACAACAACCCCACCCCCCTGTAATTTAACCAGGCTACCCCAAATGCATACCAGATGATAGCCCTGTGTCTGTGCAACAACATAACTCCCAGCCAGACACAACCCGTCCTTAATTTGAGGGAGACAATGAGCTTTGAAAGACAGGGGTAGGCCCAGGTACAAAAACTCATCGAATCTGCACTCTAGCACAAAGCATAGTCTTTACAACAATCCCACCCTCCTGGGTTTTAACCAGGCTACCCCAAATGCATACTAGATGATAGCCCTGTGTCTGAGCAACAACATGACACCCAGCCAGGCACAACCCGTCCTTAATTTGAGGGAGATATTGAGCTTTGAAAGACAGGGGTAAGCCCAGGTACAAAAACTCAGCGAATCTGCACTCTAGCACAAAGCATGGTCTTTACAACAACTCCACCCTCCCAGGATTTAACCAGGCTACCGCAAATGCATACCAGATGATAGCCCTGTGTCTGTGCAACAACATGACACCCAGCCAGATACAACCCGTCCTTAATTTGAGGGAGACAATGAGCTTTGAAAGACAAGGGTAAGCCCAGGTACAAAAACTCATCGAATCTACACTCTAGCACAAAGCATAGTCTTTACAACAACCCCACCCCCCTGTAATTTAACCAGGCTACCCCAAATGCATACCAGATGATAGCCCCATGACTGTTCAACAACATGACACTTAGTTTGACGGAAGCCCCCCTCAATAAATATTAGCTGGTCCAACGGGGGCAACGGCCGTCCCTACGGGACGGGCTGTTGCTCCCCTCGTGCAAATTTTCTGGAATTTGCACTGATTTCTGTCAATTCCAGGAAGTTATTTGGAGCCCATGGTTAAGAGGTGAGGGTGGTTAGTCCTGAAGGGCGAGATTGTTATTTTTACACTAAAAGTATCAGGGCTTTAAGCAAATTAAGTTTTGAAAGATTGCCTGCAATGTGCTGGACTTGACTTAAGATTTCAGGCAACCCGGTTTTCAAAACTCCAGGTAGA